TAAAGAAAAAAAATTAGCGAAACGGCAACGCTGACTCTCACCCCTTGGAACACAAAAAAAAAAGAATCAAGCGCAGCAGAATTTTTCTGCATTTTGTATAAATTTCAAATGGCGAGAGCCAATTGACGAAAGTTTTTGTTCTCAGTACAAACCGACAAACAGTTCTGGAACTAATAAAAAGAATAGTTTCTTCGAAATACACCTGATCTTCATTTTACGCGGTCTTTTTTTATGCGGCTCTTTCAAAATCTCCCAATTACCTAATTTACGCGGTTCAACTCTTTTGTTCATTTTGAAAAATATGTTCGCCAAAAGTGCTATCAAACGCCCCAAGAAAACTTACAAAAAATTTTAGCTATTTGTTAAAAAAAAACAATTAAAATATTTTCGTAAAATTGTGAAAAAATTATATAGAGACTCATGCCAAAATGAAGCCAAGATTTCATAGACGCCATATGTTTTGTTCTGGGCTGGTTTAGCTGTATAGTATAGTATAGTAGAATAGTAGGAGTTGGAGAATTCGGACGCAAAGTAATACCATAGAAAGATGGCAGCATTAATCCTGATTAAAGGCGCAGTTGATCTGATCAAAATTAGCAACAAAAAAGCAGTATTGCGCATTAAGCGAGCCGGGAGGTCGTGGGTTCAAATTTTTTTTTATATCTTTCATATATTGCCTACATTTTTTTAATGTAATTTTACACAAATAAGTCCTCATTCAATTTCAATTGCATTCCTATCTGAATCAGTAAGGTGTCTGCATTACCGACGACGAAGTAGATGTGCAGGCTAGTGTTGCGTGTTTTCTGCGTTCCACTTTTTTTGTGTATTGGCGAGTGTTGTCATCGAAAATGCCCCTGATCCGCATTAAATTTAAGAATAAGCTTTAGGGCTTAATTCATACTAACTGCAGTTATGTCCCAAAATAATTCCGAATTATCTTACTTTAACTCTTCTTTAACGCAATTTTCTCATTTGACGCTAACTAACCGCCGACTAACCTTGTAAACCGGGGATCAAGTGTATATTCAAACAATAACATTCGATCATGCATTTCAAAAACATCTGTTTAATGTTTAAGTAAACAGAAACTCATTTGGCAATAAAACATTGCCGGTCAACGCAAAGAAAACACACATTGTTTGAAGAGGAAAAAACACATTCATTAAAAAGACGAAATTTGTGTTGTTTTCTATATGGTATATTTATAGACACTTGTTATTGTTATTACTCTTTTTATGGTAGCGTTTTTTTTTTTTGAATTTTATAATGCGGTATTTTTATAGCCGCCCACAACTTTGCTACAGCATAAACAAACCCGGCAGTGAAAAATTATCAATTGTTAAAAATAAAGAAAGTCCATAAATACCTCACTATTAATTGGCTATGACAAAACTTACTTAAACAGAGTTGAGAGTTTTTTCTTTAAAAGTTTCTATTTAAAAATCCTCATACATATACTTTTTCGAATTCAGGATAAATAAAATGAAGTTCGAAATTTTATATTTCGAATTTTTATTATTTTATTTTAAGGCATATCAAACAGGTAGTAGCATTACAGCAAAAACAACATTTGCGTGTATTTTGTTGTTGCTTCTGGTAGCGAATATGTCAAAAACAGCTGATTTTTTACTTCTAAATCAAAGCGTGCGAGATAAAAAAAAATAAAAATTCATTGAGATTGGTTAAAATAAAAATTGTTGCAACTTTTTTTCTTAGTAAATTTGTTTGCTTTTCGAAGCATTTATCTATCCATCCTTTGCAAAACCCAGTAATCAGCGGCTGCTGAGTTGGGCAAAAGTTCCAAAGGCTGTTATTCAATCGCTTGTTTTGAAAGGTTTCACATGTAAATAGAATTTAACAATTTAGAATTTTTGTAAGAAGAAATTAAAAATATTTGACATTTTCGAGACAAAATAATTAAAAAAAAAAATAAAATAAAAATCAGCTGCTCTACTGATATTACTTTTTTAACGTGCCTTATATATTATCATTTTGATGTTATGTCTGAGGGAATTATAGGACCACGCAGAATATGTAAACAAATGAACAAATATGCAATGTTGAATATAAATGAAATAAATAAAAATTTTAAGAATAAAGAAATAACAAAATGCTTTTTTATTGATATTTTATGTCCAAAAGTTTGTAATGCATTGGTATTCAGGTCTGATTTTTTTGCGGCCATCGCCCCGTAAAAGTAGTTAGCTTTTTTCGATCGAAATATATAGATATGAACAGCTGATCGCGTGATTAGTATACCAATTAGCTCACGAATCAGCTGGAATTTTACTGGAACGTCATTCATATATATTTTTTCTTATAAACTGAGAAGATAGATGCAAACATTGCATTCATGTTAGAAAACTCATGTACTACATACATATATTATACAAAATTAATGGAAATCCATGTCTTGGCAATGCCTTTGATGCGCATGTCTTGACCGATTTTACGCGACTGACAAATTAGCTTTAGCCTTCATCATTAATTTTTCATGCTATGCCGCGAAAGCTGTAAAGCAGAACCAGCCGTCGACATTTACCAAAACAGTACAACATGACCGAATGTGTGCTACAGCGAAACTGAAGAAAATTAAAAATTCCAAATGTCATACAACATGAAAAGCGCCATCTCAAAAACTCGCAGCCAACAACCAACAACCAACAGTTGATGGTGTCAATAAAAATTATAGCCGCAAATCAAAGCGGTGCAGGCAGAAAGCATCCCATCTCGATCGCTTGATCGGCTATGGGGATGACAGCATGTTTTCCATTACATTTATTTACATACATACATATGTGTCTATTAACAAATATAAATTAATGCATATTAGCATTGGAATCAATTCTATACGCTGTGGTTGGCTTTTATTTAAAATCTTTGCTGACAGCGCATTTCCATTGAAGCGTTGCATACATGGTGAAGTGAAGAATGAAGAAGCCGCAGCAAAATCCGTTTTTTTTTTCAATCCTCGTTCGCCTGAGGAACGGCAACATTGGCGTAGCGAATGGATATTGGCTGCGTCTATGCTGATATGTACTATGTACTATGCATTGGATTAGGTAGCTATGTTCATTTGGATGGTCCAAAAGTGCTATGAAAAAGTAAAGTCGGGAGACTGCTTTTACAAAAACTGAAGTTGATTTTTTTAAATTTTGTTCGTAACGGTGCAAAAAAAAAAAGTCAAAAATCAACGGGATTTTTTAGCCGTTTATACTTCATTAGACTTAAATTGTATGGGCTATAGGTACGGTGACCATATTTATGAAAGCCGAATACGGGACAAAAAAATAATTTTGCAAATTTGTTCCATAACAGCTTACAGATCTTAAAGCCTTCTTCAATGATCCTAGATGCATTAGCCCTGAAACAGTATCCTTATAGTAACATAACGAATTTGTAGGATAATTTTCTCGAGATTTTTACCCCATAAAAATTGTTAAAAAAATCGTTAAGTTTAAAGTTGCTAAGGCTTACCAATAACTTTTGGCAATTTTTTTTGTTGACGGGGTTACGCATCTTTTTCATACAAAGTATGTTCGACCTTTTTTTTTTTAAAGAGAAGCAAATGAGCACCACTTTTCACTTGCACTTTATAATACACAATTTTTATGAGTTACAAAACTGCAAACCAAATTTTTTTCTAAAGATTCCAATTAAAAAGTTTGAAATTTTGTTGATACGTTGTAGAACTAATTTTTATAGTTTTTTGCACAAAGTGGTATTATATGCTTTTTGTTAGGAAAATAGCTTTATTTTCATAAAATAAATAAGTAAAATAGGAAAAATTGCCAAAACTTACTGAAATGTCGAGTCCTTATTTCTGTTTTAGTCACTATACATATTAGCGTGGTAATAGCAAAAATATGGTTCATTATGCTCTAAAAAATAACTTTGTGAACTGTTAAAATTTTTGGTTAATATCCTAGGCTCGCCCAAGTCCATCAAAGCTCAAGTACTAAAAAAATTTTTTTCTTAGCTAACTTCGGTTCTATACAAAAAAGGTCCATATACCAAATTCTGTAGGACTATTTTATTTTTGTAGTGCAATTTATGTATTGTAGTGCAATTGTGCGATTTTAATAAAAAAATGTGTTAATTAATTTTTATTTTTTGAGCATATTGAACTCTGATGGACTTGGGAGAGCCTAGGATATTGACCAAAAAATTCCAAATTCCACACAGATTTTTTTTAAAGCATAATGAACCATATTTTCGCTATTACCAATCAAAATTCTAAATAAGCGGATTTTCGGCCCACGCTAATATGTATTCCTCGATTCGAATCACAGGCATTCAGATTAGAAAATAATAACTGTTTATGGAGAAAATGAGCATCATATATGTACCAACATCACATAAAACTTGTTCATAGGCATGCCATTTTAATGAGCTACTAAGGCGTCGAAACCCCGAATACGGGACAAATACAGGGCATCAAAAGAAATACAGAACGTTTGGCGTGCCGTATAAATGTATAATAAATTACCAGGACAATGGGCAAAAAAAAGGACTGTCCCGTATAATACAGAACGGATGGTCACCGTAGCTATACGGCTAAAAATAGTAGATATCAACGCCTTGCATCAGGGTCATGTACAGCGTTCAATACTCCTTGTTCAAAAATGAAGTAATCAGGGCTACCACGAATTCGAATGCCTGCTACGAATACGAAAAAATTGCTGTCACTGAATCCAAAGCGAATTATATACATTCGCCTTAACTGAATCCGAGTTAACTCGAAAATATCGTATGCCGTTTTGAGCACCCTACCTCAGCGATCGCGATGGCCGAGTGACCAAAGTACTTAACTGTCAATTGAGAGGTGCGAGTTCGAGTCCGAGTCGCTGGGCAGAGAGGGGCTTTTATTCTTTTTTTATATATTTAAATTAAACTGAAAATGCTATGTATATACATATACATATGTATGTATGTACTCACTTTGTTTTAGTAAATAAACTACTATTTCATTAAAAATGTAAAACCAGCAAAAAAATTTTCATGTGTGTGTTTTTTATTATTTTCTATATTACTTTTCATGTATTTAATTAAGACTTAGATAATATGCACAACATTCTTGGTTCAAATTGTTTTATTAAATGGATATTTGTTCACTGTGCAAACCTTTTATGTCGTACACTTTTCAAAATGTTCATCTATTTAATTTGGGTAAATGTTTTTAAATTGTATACCAATACATAGTTATATTATTTTATAGTTACGAATGCAAAACGAAATCGACCAGTTTATCGACGACTTGCATTATAAAGGCCATAAAAGGAATTTAACCGCTGAAAAATCTATTTTTAGTATAAGAAATTGACCGATTAAATAAAAAGTCAAATTGGAGGAATTTAATACAAGGGACATGCATGCATAAATAAGTAACTGAATAAGAAGCTTCATAAATAATACTACATATGTATAAATAGATATTGCGTAAACTTTTGTGGCAATCGGGGTTTCGAAAATTTTAGATTCAAACGTTCGAGTATTTTTTGAAAAATTGCAAGACAATAAAATCCTTTTGGTTTTTTGTTTTTAATGTGTTGCATTCCTCTATTGAAATTTTCTATGCTGCCTTCTATATTTGTATGTTATTATTTTCAAAAGATTTCGTTTTGTGCCTATTTCAACATGAAACGCTAATATGCGTGATTTAGGCATCTTTTCCTTTGTTGTGTACTGGTAGTTATTTATTTTAATGAACTACAATTAGTGGTTTAAGAGTTAATCGAATAAAACTTCTGTTAAATGTATTAACTATTAATTTGTTTTGCCTTTGCGTAACATTTATATTTATGTATTTGTTCTCATTGTTTTAGAATGCATAAGCTTGCTTGTATGCTCCTTGTTTTCTATGTGTTTAGTTTATTGCGAGAACAACAAACCTGTTCCTAAAATATCGCTAATCTATTGCATTTATGTTTGTTTGTATGTATGTATACTGGAACAATAATATATTTTTCATATTTTTCCTTGCAAATATATATTTTTTTAGTAAAGTATATAGGAATTAGAGATAAAAAAGCATTAGAGGTGCTGAAAAAATATGTTAAATATAATATAGTATGTATAACAAAAAACAGTTTTCGTTTTGCTTTTAAAAATATGCTATTCTGTTTACTGCTATGGATGTGTCTTTCAAAATTGCAGTACTTCAAATTTAGTGCCATATTAGCTGTAGCGTATCTATTGCTCTGCTTTTCTATGGATTAGAGATGGTAAATTGCGGAACTGAATATCAATATCATATTTGCTTTAAATTAGCGATTCGACTTTTGTGTTTTATGCACTACTGCATACAAAGTTGGCTTATAACTATGTATCGTCAATTCAACGATGGTATCCGCATATCATGCCAATTAATTTCAATATTTGGCCACTTCGTTTGCAAGCAAGTGAGCATCGGATTTGAGATGCACACAGATTTTAGATCACTTTCAAGTAATATAGCTGACCCCTTACAGTAACGTACCTATTAACAGATAAAATACAGTTATGAACACAAGAAAGGTTCCTTACTATGAACGTACCTTGTTGCCCTCATTTGAACCTGGTATTCCGTTGTAGTGCATTAAGTCGAATGTGTCAGGGGTTGATCGTTTTTCCTGTGGGAAGAATTCATCCATAAATGCATTTAGAAGAATAATGTGTAACCCTTCAGGATCGAGTCGCTTTTGCATGATTTCCACGCTGTAAGAGTAATTTTAAGTTTGATATTTAGTTAACCAAATAGTATAATGCAGAAAAAAAAATTACAAGTCACTTTAGTTTTGACTGAGGTTAATTATACTACTAGTAAAATAGCAAAAAAACTTAAGAGTTTAGCCAAAAGTCAACTAAAACCCTTTCAATATGACTTACTATTCAGGCTCATTAACCAAGTCCAGTGCGGCTAAGACATCTTGCAAGACGTCAGCTGGTATAAAATTATTGCCTTCTGGATCGTACGACTTGAAAACTCGTCTTGCCAACTCAGACGGCGTCTCCGGTGACACCAGTCGCTTCTCATTGCTGAATAGAACTGTTAAGAGGAAAAGGTCAATTAGTAACCGCTAAAATGATAAGACAAACTCTATTCACCTGTCAAATGAGTCTCAGAACCCATCACCCAAACAGGATTTTTCGGATTTTTAAAGAATGAACCCACAGTACAATATCGCATTTGCTCCATTAATGTTATAAATCCAATATCGCTTTGCTCGTTGATGCCGCGCAATTTCAAACCGCCAACATCCTGATCATTATCCCAGACATGTGCTACGGCACGTCCAGTCAGCATTAGGTTGATAAGCGCTTGTGAACCATATCCATAGGTGTTGTGTATCAGGGGTTCAGATGTGTCAGACAATTCCGAAATAACATTTTCAATATTCTGTATCATAACAACAGCAAAGTAAAACATTATTATGTTATTAATTATGGAACGCCATTGCTTCCTAACCTTAGTGAGCAGCACTGAATAGAGGAAGAGCAGTAAGCCATATTGGCCAGAGAGCACCTGCCAGTGTTCCGAATAATATTTCTCCACTTCTTCAATCGACTCGAAGTTCAGCACGTGCAGACCCTCATGATATGCATCCGAAGAGACTTCACGAGCTTCTGCTATACGCACCGATGTTGCCGACGGTATGCTAGCATCAGCAGTTTGGGTCACAGCCTCTTCCAAAGCAGCAGCACTGAGCTTCACATCTGGAATGTCGCTTGCAGCATTTACTTCTTTGGCCTCGGCACATGTCTCCAGTGGCAGCGTGACAATTCTGTAGCGTTGTGCGGAACACTTACTTAGGATAGCGCATATCGCCTGAATTAATAGGCGTCGACATTTATCCTCAGTTAGCTGCAACACAATGATTAAAAGGGTATAGTGTTGAAATCTTTCTTAGGCGTTGTAATTTACTTACATCTTTAAGGAAATGACCTGGCGTGTCCATTATAAGAATTTTCAACAGGTTTGCCTGTACGGGCGCTATCACAGCACATGGTCCACCCTCTTTCTGCACCAAAGCAGACGGTTCAGTATCACTAAATTCAAAGCCTATAAAATTAAAACAAAGACGTTTATTTTTAGATAACCACACCTTTTTACTGCACTGAGTCACTATACCTTATTTTAGACATATGTACTAACCTTGGGACCAACGACGAAACACATCTACTCGTATGGTCGAACCCCACAGCAATTTGCGAATCTCTTGTAGCTCTTGTGCGGCATTATACGATGCAGCGGCTTGATTCGATCCCGGCCGATCTTTACTGACATCATTGCATGCTTTTTCTGAAAACAAAATTAAACGGAAACTATGTAATCGTATCTCTTATATTTTGCATTTTAATTGCTTTCAAATATGCGAAATCGGATAAAACGCCACTACAGCTGGTCATATTGGATAGTAACCAAAGCCACTCCAAGTGCCTATTTGGGTTTGTCCGTTTTCTTGGAGCTGCGCTTGTACACAAATTGAGGTTAAGTTGCCTCAAGGTAATTGGAATGCAGAAGAAAAATTAATTTCACGAGATCTTAAAAAAAACATTTTGATGCAGAAATTTTACCACATTCTAACAATTTTGATGAAGTTACGTTAATATTAAACTTATAGGAAATTAATGGCAAACAAAAGCGGATACTAGAATACACAATTAAATATACACAAACATACAGATAGTGGCAATAATTTATCAAATTCCTTTCTGCAAGTGGACAAAAGCCACAAAACATTCTAACACCCACCGCTCTCCATTCTTATCGATTGTGGTTCACTGGAAGGCATCTGACACTTATTTAGGTACAAATGCAACTTCTTCTCGTCCTATTTACACCATTTCAATTTATGTTTATTTATAAAAAAAATCAACACTTTTTATTAAATGCACTCCAAATTTGACACAAAATTAGATTGCCTTGGTGCAACGCAGTGCTGCCACATTACAGGTTACTGAATGCACTTCGATAAATGGATGGTTTTTGCCAAAGAACGTAAATAGATTTACGTTCTTTGGGAATACAAACGTTAGAAATAATTTCGAAATTAAAATGAATAATTACAGGTTGGGCGAAGGCGTATCGTTCATTAATAATTAAAAAATGTGAAATTTTACTGTTTCCCACTTCTTTGCAGATTTCACAAATTTGTTTACGGTGGCAGTATCAACAGTTGCCGGCAGGTGCCGCTGAAAACAATATGCGACCTTGCGTCATTGCAACAAGCAGTGCTACCGGACCAATTCTAATAATTTTGGAATTTTGCTTTAAAAGTTATCCTGGATATGACAGAATTTAAGAACGACCTCCATAACAAATTTATCCATATGCGTGCGTTTGACAATTTCGCTTAGAAGTCGAAATTCGTATAACTTTCACACTTGTTCATGATGCATTAACACAAGGTTGTATCAGTTGTGACAGCTCGATTTGACACTGCCTTAGCTCAGTAGAATGAGAAGAAAAACGGGAAGAAATTAATCCCCATATGGGGGAAAAGTATAAAATTTCACATTTTCTCCTTAACAAAATTTGCTTTTTTATAATATATTCGTTATGAAATGAAATAAAATAAAGTAAAAGACCTTTTTAAGAAAACAAATTGTGTATACTGAGAAAAAATAAAAAACATTCAACTATATTAATGGGCAAAGAATAGTTAAAGAAGTAACACTGTTTCACGTAGTCAATATGGCGGAATTAGAGCGAGAACTTGCCAACTGATAACACCTGTATTATTGCATCATGACACTTGTTCATGCGTTGCTATGTACATAGGTACTGCCATGATAAAAATATAGTAAGGTAGAACCGCTGAGAGGCACTTTTAAAATTATTGACGTTTCCAAACAATTTAATTTTTAAATTTACTCACAAACTCACACACACAATGGCTGCGTTTCTTTATACATTCCGGATAATCCCATTTCACAGCCGGAATAAACAGAATGCGTTTGAAATATACGTCACCATATCAACAGGAACGTTCTAAAGAATAAATAAACAAAAAAGCTTATTCCAAACGTTCAGAATGAATAAAGAAATGCAGCCAATATCATTTTCAATCTCAAGCAACAACAATTTCGAACAATTTCAATTTTTTATTTTCACTTTTATATGATTTTAAAATGTTGGCAAACTTCAAAAAAAAAATCATGGCCAACAAATTGAGAGAACGGTTATACCTTGCTGTGTTTTTATCATGGTTACTGCCATTAAAACTTGTATACATATTAAATTTTGCTTACTAGAACTGCCAAAACATTGGAGCACTATAACCAGCTAGGGCTGCCAGAAATCCGTTATCCAGGGTTTGTCCTGGGTTTAGACAATTTTTTCTGGTGTCCGGGGGCTGGAATAAAATTCAGTGGGTTTTTCGGTACACAATTTTGACAGCTAAAAATCATTCTTACAGTTCCTGAATCGCTAAATGAAGAGAGTACACAATTTTCATTATACACTTGAAAACTCACAGCTACAGAATCCAGTCCCTGGTCCACACATAAGTTGTCCTGGTTTTTTAATGAAGTTAAATTTTTGGTATATTTTTGCTATAAAAAAAGGTTAAGCTTTCTGTTATTAGTAAACTGCGGATGTTTATGAAAAAAAAAACGAGTCCGAATTTCAAAACTATAAAACTATATAAGTAACTGTATACAACTTTAGAAAAAATTATAAACATTTTATTATTTTGCTTATGGTTAAGTGGTACAATTTCTAGGCTTCGTTTTCTGCATAAAAATCCGCAGTCTAGTTAATAGTAATCGAAAATAGAGAACGAACGGTTTTTCTAATGCCGAATTTCCACTATTCGTTGAAATGACAAAAAATGTATGCCATTTAATGATTATTTTTTTTCAATTAAATGACACGATTATTTTTTAATGCCCGACCTTGTCGTTTGTTATTTTTGCCATTTAATGCTAAGTGGAAATGCAGCATAACATGTTGAACAATATCTTATAAGTTTACTTTTTTATCCTTAGTGTATTTGGTTAAAATCTAACTTTTTTATCTTCAGTCCAAAAAAGCGAAAGTTTCTGAACAGGTTCACGGCTGAGGGGTCATACATACTAACCAGTAGATAATTTCAGGGGCTAAAATCTCTTCCAAAAGGCCTTTCTAAAAGCCATTCGTTTTTCTTCCATTTTTGTATGGAGTGGCAGAAATTGAAGGGCTTCTGCTTTCGCTACCCAAAGAAGAGTCTTCTGAAGGGCTTTTGTAAGACAATTGTTTATTCTGGCTACTATTTTGAAAGCTCTTTACTGCCTTTAGAAAAACGAATTAAAATATCTGCTAACGAGGAGGTCTTAGCGTTATTGTGTTTGTAGTTTTTTTAATTCAATACAATTTTTCAAAATATTTGAATTTAATAAAATAAAAAAAAAATATACTTTGTTTTTTAAAACAATAAAAACTAAATACTAAAAAGTGAAAAACCAAATTACAACAACAAAAATAAATTTAAAAAATCTAAGAATTTTAATAAATTAAAAAAAAATATATGTCGTCTGTTACATTAAGGTCAATTCGAGACCTTTTTGACTCATAATTGTCAATAGTTTCTAAATTCAAAATATTTACTTAAAATAACTTTGCGACATCCTGCAGAATTCAAACCTAAATTTAAATCTGAAAAAAAGGTTGGTTGTTTCTGTTGTAAGAGAAATAATTTGAAAACTTACGTGAGCTGCATTAAGGTTATCTGAGGGTCAATTCTCGTTCTACGTTATTTCGATGTGATAAAAATAATACTTTTACACGGCATTTATTTCGGCGTTAATTTTATACTTTTTAGGTACTTCACTTCACGATAACGCAGAACGGACACTAACCCTTTGAGGACCCGTAGTAGGCTGCGTTTTTTACTCAAATATTATATATGATATATATATATATGTAACTGAAATCTTATTTACCTAAACAAATTTAATTAACATATTAACGTAGTAATTTCTGTACTTTTCCTATCAAAATATGAGAAAGATCACTTGCCTGACGTTAATGTATTAAGTGTGAGATTTTCTTTGTGGTGCAGAGGGACTAAATTAAACTAAAAATTGCCTTACTTCAAACATATATTAACGCGACTCTATAACAAAAACTTAACCTTTTTATCGTTTTAACAGAGACATTAACATCATTTCGTGGGAAATAAACTAATTTTAATTTTAACGCATTCTCGGAACTTTTCCTATCAACATATTCGTCGCCTGGGTAAAAGATTGTCGTATGTTAATTTCGGCAGGTTGTGGGAAATCGCGATTGAAGTTTGGAATGCAATTGCTCAAAAACGAAAGCCTCTGAAAATGTTACTAGTTCACAAAATTCTTAAATTATTTATTTTTTTAATGTTTATTGTTAATTAGTTTTGAGTTTATGAAGGATTTTCTTTAGTAAAATTTTGTCGTAAGGGTCATTTGTCAACAATTTGGCAGCCACTTTGTATGAAATACGACAAAATGTGATCAAAAATGCAACAAACAACCACATGATCAAGTCTAAATAGCAACAAAATCGTTGCCTTTGATTGTAGGTTGTGGGTTAGCCAGAGCAACAACAGTTTACATGGTGAACTTAGCTCACTGGGTAAAACCCTTTGAACGCTGGAGTTGTTTGTTCAAGTCGCAGTTTAGTCGATGGAAAGGTCTGATGAGGAGGATGTACTATACATAGGTACCATATAAAACTTTAATAAAAAATTTTCGCGGGCAATCTAATATATTCATACATCGACATCTGAGTGGAAGATCGACCTACCTCGGCAGCCAGTATGAAAACGTCCTATCTCAGAAAACTTTTCAAAAACGCCCTATTTAAGAGTATGATTGAAAAACGCCCAATCTCTGAAAATGTTTTAAGAACACCCTATTGCAGAATTCGATTCAAAAACACCCTCTCTCAGCATACTTTTAATATATTTTTATTTGATAGAGATTGTTTTTTTTTACCGAATTTTGAGATAGGGCGTTTTGAAAAGTTTTCCGAAACAGGACGTTTTTCAATCAAATTTTAAAATAGGGCGTTCTTCAATCAAATTCTGAAATAGGGTATTCTTGAAAAGTTTTCTGAGATAGGGCGTTTTCGAATTGGCTGCCGAGATAGGTCGATCTTCCACTCAGGTGTCGATATCGTCCTTTTTCACTTCCTAAGAATAATTTCGGTATAAGTTATTTGTGGCCAAACTAATTTGTTTGGCATATGTGCACTAACTTCTTACATACTATGTATGAGTACATGTGTGTGAATATCTTCATAGATTACTGTCATTTAAATATTTCAGCTTTGAACAGTCACCTGTTTTTTGGTATCCACCTACCCTGTAGAGAAAAAAATTATTAATTGATTAAAATAACCAACTTCTAGTTAGCTTTTTTGCGGGATTTCGATAAATACCTAACTTTTAATTACCTATGACAAAACCCAACTTTAAGTTAGTTGTAAAGTCGTGCAGGAGTCATGCAGACGCAATCGGGAGTTGGTTTTCTTTACAAGTTTCTATTTAAATATCCTCATTAAAAAATTACTTTCAATACACTTCTTTTCTGCACTTCGCAGATTCTTTTTCGTATTCAGGGCAATTAAAATAAAGGTCAAAATTTTATGTTATCCTTTTGATGTTAGGTCTGATCGCATCAAATAGGAGACCACCTACAAAAGAACATGTAAACAAATAATCAAATATGTAATGTTATATAAAATAAGTAAATAAATACAAAGCAAAAAATTGAAAAAACCTTTTTTTATAGATAGTTTATGTCCAAAAGTAGTTAACTACAAGTTAATTGACATCTAATGCAGAGGAAACCAGTTCTCACTATTTTGCGGTCATCGCCTTTCAAAAGTGGTTAGCTAGGTCCTAAGGAAATAGTTAATAAATAGTTACCACTAGTCGACTGCTAGTTTGTTAATAGTTAGCTACAAACTAGTCCCATTTCCTACAGGGTATCG